TTTTTTTTTGGCCAAATTATGCTAACATTATGCTCTTTTTTCCAAATTATGCCACCGTTTTTTTAAATTATGCTCTTTGAAAAAATGCAAATAAGTCCAAAATATATATTTTTTAACTAGAAGCCGTTCGTCTACAGGAAAGAAACGCAACAAATCCACAATGAATTTCAAATAAACATGTGGTTCAGGTTAGACCCGGGCTCAGTGCTTCACAGTGAACTACAAATGCTACTAGTTTAACTAAAACTTTAAATATCGATTAAGGTCACCAAGTGCTTGGGACTAGAGACAAAAAATTATCAAATAATGGCATCAAAAATGATCTGATAATTATCAAAATGCGCAAATTATGCTAGCATTGCTACTTAGCAGAAATTATGCCAGTTTGCTCGAATTATGCCAAAAATTATGCTAGCATAATCTATAAATGCCTACTCTCTCCCCTCCTCCATCTCCCCTCCTCTCAAGACTCAAGTACAGTTATATTCCACAGTCCTATCTTTATAATCTGCTGGTGACGACTGTTCCCGCCTTCGTTGCCTCTGAAAACTATCTGATCTCCCTCCCCAAAAATCTTCCACACCTTCCCCCGGGCGAAAGATAATTTTTTACTGGTCCCTAACCACTCATACAAATCTCTTTACTCCCGCCACTGTAAACAACACATTAAATAACATTGTATCAAGCCAGTACCTTTTTGGGTCATCGTGTTGTCAAAACGGCAAATAGCAATTCTGCTGGTCGTTTTACTAGAAAAGATTATAAAAAGTCACTTAAAATTAAAATATCAATGCGGGTTACAGCAAACATGCTTTTTCTAGTTCAAAACAATCAGGCCTGGTTCAAACGTCGAAGTTTACATGTGCCGAACTTAATAACTAGAGTGCCTGGGAATATTGACAGCGAACAGAGTTAAATGCGACAGAGTTAAATTTGACGTTTGAATCAAATACCGTATTCAACTTTTAGTCGACTAATAAAATAGGAGTTAAGTTGGGCACATGTGAAATTCGACGTTTGAACTGGGCCTTACTCTTGACATTATTTGAATTTCCACTGAATTGTAACTTGTTTGCTTTGAAAGTTTCATCGATGTAAATTGACGTGCTTTTCAACTCAATCAGGGCTGATAGCAGCTTAAAAATAGCCTACTCTTTATCAGCAAAAGAGTGAAAAAGCTCGAACAGTTTGCTCATAATTTTTTGCCATCGTCATATGTTCGACAACAAATCTTTCCTCGTTAGTTTTTTTTTTCTCTCTAGCGTTAAGAAACTTTTCTGTTATGGTAGTTATTCAAAGTGGCGTTGTGCTGTAGAATAAAGTTGCTTTTTTAAACATTTTTCGAAACGTTGGAAGCTGGCTAAAAAATTAAAGCAAAGCGAAATCAATTATTGTGAGTGCGCTAAAAATATGTGAAAGACCCTTTGCGTAGTCACTGAAGTCGTTAGAATGGTCTCTTGACCGCCAACTGGGCAAAAATCATCGATGTAAATTGATGTGCTTTTCAACTCAATCAGGGCTGATGGCCGCTTAAAAATAGCCTACTCTTTATCAGTCAAAAGAGTGAAAAAGCTCGAACAGTTTGCTTTTAATTTTTTGCCATCGTCGTATGTTCGACAGCAAATCTTTCCTCGTTAGTTTTTTTTTTCTTTCTAGCGCTAGGAAACTTTTATGTTATGGTAATTATTCAAAGTAACGCAGTGGCGTTGTGCTGTGGAATAAAGTCGCTTTTTTAAACATTTTTCGAAACGTTGGAAGCTGGCTAAAAAATTAAAGTAGAGCGAAATCAATTATTGTGAGTGCGCTAAAAATATGTGAAAGACCCTTTGCGTAGTCACTGAAGTCGTTAGAATGGTCTCTTGACCGCCAACTGGGCAAAAAAATAATTGACTGGAATTTAGGCCCCAACGCTATACCTTAATAAACTGAAAACGGCATTTTAAAGGTCGAAGAACCCTTTAAAGATTCGAACTGCCTAGAAAACCTACTTTTCCCACGAGCATGGAAAGCTTGAGAGAAATGAATTGGTTTCGTCCTTAGCCGACCACTCAAAAACCCACAAGCAACATAACATCAGGTCAAATCAATAATCCAACGAGAAAATTTTCTGGTTCTGTTTACAATTCAAGGCATTCTTTGAGACTTAATAAAAATCGTCTTAGATCGATTGATGTTTCCGGAAATTACTTAACGCCTGTCTTTAACTTGAGAAAGTTTCCTCCAAACCCCTGTTTATGTAACTAAAATCAACTGGCCAACACTAAAACTTCCTGGATGCGCGAACGCCTTTCAAACGATTCAGTTATTTTAACTCTACAGACGTTATTGATTTTAGAGGGATATAGTGAAACATAGGAATTTAAAAATTCGTAATCTTGTCTGCAACCGCTACACAAGAAAACCCCACACGCGTATATTTCTTTCCTTTCGCTGGTTTGCGGTTTTTCGAGAATCTCGACCGACTTAAGAACTTCCCGATACGGTTTGAGAAGTCTTAGGCAGATTTGTGTAAACAAATTAATCTTGTTTCTCTTATTATGCATTATAGCGTGTTTGAATGCCACTGCATCGCGTTTACGACAAACTGAATTAATGCCTACTGATTTTCCTGATCACCAGTATTTTCTCTTGCCTGTTAAGCGAAAAAAATAGTAAAATGATATTTTCTCATGGTGTCTCCTTCAACAGAAAGAAATCTTTGGATTTTTACCTACGGCCCAGTAGTTGAAGAAAGGAAAAAGGAAACTTCAGTGTTTAATTTCTCGGTCAAATTCCTGGATATTTGAACCTTTATTTCAGAGCGAACTGAATTTTTAAACAAGCGATTCACAATTTTAAGCATAGCGGAGGCATGGCAAGGGAAATTTCCAGCCGTCATCGAACACTTGGCGAAAATGTATGCACTATTGTTTACATTTAGTGGCAGTACTCTCCCATGGGATTCTTTCAGCCAATCATAGCCTGGAGCATGGAGTTCAGTCCCACTTATTGTGCACGTGAGGTCAAGGTTGGACTATGAACTCTATGTGACTAAGCAGTTTCACTGAGCAATACTCACTGTAGTTACTATATTTTCATCTAAATCTACCGTGACGCGCGGTGAAACGACACGATCTTTCAGCCATGGACGGCGAAGAAGTAAGAAATGGCAGCCACGACGAGAACCTTGAACATTTTGATCTCAATCTGGCTTATCGTTTCCTCGATTCACTCCCCAACGATGTTCACATCTTAAACAATTTGCCAGATCCGTTGAAAATCACAAGGATCAACCTTGCCGGAAACAACGTTTCAGTTCTTCCCGATTCAATAGCAAACTTTCTGAACCTTAGAGATTTGGATATCTCCGAAAATGGCCTGGTTTACATAACTCCACGAATTGGCGAACTTCGGAACCTCAAAAGGTTGATGGCAAAGAACAACAACATGGTCGATTTACCGAAAGAGTTCGCTTTTCTTTTGGCTTTAGAACATCTCAATTTAAGCGGTAATCGATTTGAATCGTTTATGCCGGAAATGTTTGAACTTCTAGCTCTCAAAGCATTGTATTTAGGAGGAAACAGAATCGATGTTATTCCACCAGATATCCATCGTCTTCAAAGGTAAGGTTTGCAAACAAAGGCGGTTCGAAATTACTGTACCTCTTCAGCGAGCAGTCCCTGCGCAAAATTTTTGTTTATCTTCAATTTATGGTCCAAGGGAATTTTAATCCTTTGCTTTTTACCGCTACCTTTTTTTAGGATATTCATTTCACACCAATCGACAGATTATGGTTCTAACTTGCCATAATTTTCCCCAATTTCTATTCGTGCAGTATTGTTTAATTTTAATTGTAAGACCACGTTTTACATTCACGTGCTAAATCATTCAGGTTGCGTAAGTTTGTGATCCCTATTGGAGATTCGGTAAGGCCTAAAGGAACGCTTTATTCTTGATCAGTTCGTCTTTCTGCTAAGTTTTGGCTTGTTATTTGTTGTATACCTCCATGAGATAAATTTTTCAGTGTGAACAAAGTCTGAACATCAAACCGTGTTAAACACTTGTACATAACTGAGGTTATGCAATCAATAAAAGATCCATCGCTTCGTAAGCTTACTTAAGGGCAAGCACGTTCTTTTTCCTTAAATTTTTTCTTGCGACACGTTTCTTTTTCAAGTAATCCATTTGCCTAATAAATCTATTTGCTTAAGAGAAAAGGTTTGTAATTCAGGTATTATCATCTTAATTTATATTTAAATTAAGATAGCTAAACAATTTTAAAGGCAGATTTGTAACACAATTCTAATTTACCATACTTCACGCAGGTTGGAAATTCTCTATCTTGGTGGCAATCAGTTGTCATCTGTACCAGCTGAACTGGGTATCCTGCGCAAGTTAAAGGCCCTCAATCTGTGTGACAACAAGATTGAATCCCTTCCCTCAACATTTGCAAAACTGACGCATTTACAGTCTTTGCATCTTCACAACAATAGACTGACGTTGCTGCCTGTTGAACTTGTAAAACTGCGAAACTTGGAAGAGTTAAGTCTGCGAGAAAATCCTCTTGTTGTGCGATTTGTTAGAGACATGGCATTTAACCCTCCTTCGTTGTTAGAACTAAGTGGCCGCTGTATCAAAAATACTGGAGTCAAATATGGTCCACAAGACCTCCCTGTACATTTACTTCAGTATCTGAACAGTGCTCGCCGTTGTGTGAATCCATGCTGGAAGGGAGTGTATTTTGATGCAAGAGTACGACATATAAAGTTTGTGGACTTCTGTGGGAAATATCGTCTACCTCTTGAACAGTTTCTGTGCTCACCACATGCTGATGAAAGATGGGAAGATTGTTCCTCAAGCAGTAGTGAAGATGAAGCCGTTGGTATACCTCGTGAAAGAATGAGGAAAGTTCTCTTAGGATAAGAGTAAGTTCTAGCACATTGCAAAATATACAGCCCCTATTTGGGACTTTTAATTCAGGGTTTGCTTTGATTCAAGAGACACAAGCCTTGGTTATGACTGAAAGAAATACTCCTACAGCATAACTTTGCATCTGTTGTCTTCATGGACACAACAGACTCTTTAGGAGACACTTTTTTCGAAGATGCCCCTGAATAAAAGTCCACTGTCAGTCTGAAACCCTTTCACTCCCATGGTATTTACCGGTATATCAGCTCTCCTAACTGTAAAAGGCAATAATTTTCTTTCTTTTTTTTTTTAACTTTAAGTATTTATAATGTTAATTTTGCCTAGTGGAGTGCAGCTTGGTCTGAAGTTCTACGCATGATTTGAAAAATCCAACTTGCGCTGCACCCTTGTTTCATTTGAATTTACAAGTACAATTTCAGACCAAAATTGCACAACTTGAAATTCATTTATCATTTTATTACATCCATTTTGAATTTGAAAACTTTATGAGCCTAAATACAGGATTTTAGTCGTTACTAATATTTTATTGATCCAATATTGAAGTATTGTGGACAAAAGTTGCAAAATTTGCAACACAGTGGTTTCTTTGTCTTTCAGTTTCCTGCAATGCAGTAGGTTTCTTCACAAGAGCCTCAAAATCTGTTAGATTATTTCATTTTAGTGTTGCTTTCTCATTGACCAGAAAGATGCAATTTAGAAGCAAAAATATTTGTTCCTGATTTGTTCTGCTGAGAGCCAATTAGATTGTACAGATCACCAGTGATTTCAAAATGGATGTAATAGAGTAAAAACTCACATAATATCTGCTTTTCTTCTTTCCTCTCTTTACCCGCCTCCTTGAAAATGTATCAGTATTATTAGAAGTAGTAGTAGTAGTAGAAACTTTATTAAAGTGTCAAAAACCGTCTAGCCAGGGAACAAATCCCTTACTAATTTGGGGACACCAAAGAAATGCATATGTGGTCAGTCTTGGGAGTTACAAGGTGAACTGAATCATAGGGCTGTTTTCATGACAGGAGTTTAAAGAATATATTTTTTGAGTCTAAAATTTTGGGGAATTTTGACAATGTGGAAATTATTTTTAATCTGACTTTGCTGGTGAGAGAGAGAGAGGGAGAATATGTTCCTAATTCATTGTAAATGAATGTACAGGTGACTATCTAGTAGAGTCACAAGATAGAGTTGTAAAGAAATGTTAAATTTTATATATTTATTTCTACAACAATCAAAATGTTATGTCTATTTCTCTGGTGTTGATTTTTAAGCGTCGGATTATGTTACAGTAGCGTGATAGTTTGATGTAAAGAAATGCAAGTAGAAGTAGAATTCCAAAGTAATTTTTCTCAACACAGGAGATAGCCTCATGCATTCATGTATCTCCATTGATTATTTTATTCTATTAAGAAATTCTGAAAAGCAATTTGTGATACTGTGAGTTAAAAGACCTTAAACTCTGTACACTGCTGGCAATCACAGTTGTTTTTTGATCTAACGCCAAATTCTTGTGACCAATTTACAAGGAAATTTGAAGCAGCCAGATGGAAGGATTAACAAACTTATCTTGGAATTTAAAGGTTGAAAAAACCATAGGAACTTTGTCTCACATGCACTAATTTTAGCTAGTACTCGGAGATTTTAAAGTGCACACACAGGTAGTATGAAAGTCACTCTCCTGTCCTTTTATGTTGTGTTTTATTCTGCCAGTACTTTGCTTCTTTAAATTCCTATATTGCATCTGAATGGTCATTTATTTCTTGATGACGGGGCAGAGAGAATTGAAATTGACACTCAAGGCTGTGCTCCAAGAAAAATTGAGGGAAGCCCAGTGCTCTGAAACTGTGAAATCCAGGGTGCCCAGCATATGCTTTTTATTAAAAAACTAAGATTCCTGAGCCACCCAAGAGCAAAAGTAAGGTGCCAGGGGCCACTGGGTGCTGCTAGAGCACAGCCTTGACTCTATTTTGAAAAAATAGAGTAAAGCATACATTGATTGTGAACGTACCTACTGTTAAATTTGACTTTTACATTATCTGTTCTCTATGGAGATGGACATTTTTGATTTTCAAAGAAGATTCTCCATGATTTTGCTCTTGAGCTAAGTTGAACTCGGAAATAATAGAGGATAGGAATAGAAAATAATAGAATGTAATCAATAGAATGAAATATGTGAAATAAGAGCCGTGATTTATTTTATTTTATTTTAGTTAGTACTATATATATTGTAGATAAAGAATTTCAGTGAATGGGAAATAAATGGAAATGATCTAACTTAAGGTTGTTAGCCAGACATCTCTATAACAAAAAGTAAATGGTTTTTGCCAATTACCATAGCCTTTCAGTTGGCAATTCACACTTTCCATTTAGAATGACATAAAAAAAATGCCCTTGTCCAGAAAAGTGCTTTGGAAATATTCTACACAGGCTGTAGGTTGAGCCTACTGTGACTCCATAATAAAAGAAAACAAAAGTAATATTTTAAGCTTTTAGAGAGAAGAAGACTTAAAACCTAAGCGACTGAATAACACGGCTGAATTCCACGATTTTGAATGTCTCCAAGATTTCAAACCTATCATAGATTACAAAAACTGAAAGAAAGGAAATGAAAACCTTTGGTTGAATAATTGTCCTGAACACTCAAACACCAATTCAAAAAACGAAACCATGGTGCATATCTCTACACAAACATCAGAAATGTACGCTAGAACGGTTCAATGATACAAATTAAACGGTATATTCTATGGATTTCCTTATTTTATCTTTCTCTGTCTTCGGCTTAAACTCTGCCTGAGTTTTGACCTGGAAACAGGTTTCACCGGTTTGCGACTTGGACACAAGAACAACACTTCCTTTTCGTTGCAAATCTCCCTTAACAGTTGGCAATGCATTGGCATTCAAATCCGGGGCATCTCCTTTCTTAGGCTTAGTGTTTCGTGATTTAACAGAGGGGAGGGGTGGAGAGGAAGCCGTTGTCGTGGGTTCTGTGTAAAAAAGACTCTCTATTCGGTTATTCATTGATAGTTTCTTCCGAGGAACGCTCTTCGATTCGTCGTTTGTTTCAGTGAAGATCACCGGGTTCTCGTAAGCTTCATGAACTTCGTTGTCAGCTGAACGGGTCCTGGTTCTAGTCTCGAATTGAGAAACATCTTTTCTTGCCCTTGGGGGCAAGGAGTACTTCTTTGCTATGGCGGTGTTTGGCTTCGTCACATCGTTACCTAGAATAACACCGTGGTGGTCAACTAAGGAAGACGATGGGGAGTATCGCTGTTTCGGGGTAGATGGTTCCAGGTCAGTTTTACCTGCAATAGAGTACATTTCGATCGTGCATTTTGTTGAATTAAAACCTAAGTAATAGTATCAGCCAACAAAGCAAAATAAATTATCACAAAAAGCCAATGAGAACGCAAAGAAAAAAACCACATATTTAAAGCGCGGGAAAACACGGGTAGCCAAGTCGCGATTGGTCATAGTTTTGAATTTGATTGGTTGCATGAGAGGATGGCGTAAGTTTTCTGGACCAATCACATAGCGGAGTAAAGCAAAACTAAAACAATCCAGAGTTACTTTCGAAAGTTGCCCTGACAGTGATAAAAAGTTGATATAGGGATACATATATGACACATATCAAAAACATACGAGTCAAAATTGTTTACACCGATGACAAAGAGACCTTGTTTTTATGCTACATTTTGACTCATGGAGTTAAAAAAAAAAAAAATGGAGTTTACGAAGATAAAACCGGGCGCAAAAAATGGTTACGGGGATGAAGTGAAATGTTTTGCATGTGACCTTCCTACCTGCAGATTTAGAGTCGGGTAAATTATCTGTGCTAGGCGCCTTTTCAATGTGAAAACTTCCACCGTCGTCCCTGCAGAAACAATATACAAGAGTTTTTGTTAAAACTCAAAGTGATAACACGCAATGCGGGTAAACGCGACCGACTTATACAGCTTCGGTTCTGCATTTGATTGGTTGAGAAGTATGCGCCAGATTTAATTCTTTACCCATTAAAAAGCGCAGTGAAAAAAAACAACGCAGACCCGAACCAACGCTTTCGACACTTAGTTCAAAACCGCACTATACCCTCTGTCTTGTGATCGATGTTGCGCGACGTCTATTGGTCTCATGCATGTAGATAGCTAATAAATACAACTGCGTACCTATCACCTCTGACAAGCAAAGTGGGAGTCGACTCTGGTATAGTATCCGAACGTCGAGCAGCCATTGATATTCTCCGTAGCTCTGTAATCGTTACGCCTCGTCTCCTCAAACGAATCTCCAGTTGAGATATCTCCTCTTCTTTCTAAAATATTCGTGACAAATGTCTCATGGAAACTCAAAATACTCATCTAATAAAATGTATATTAAGTCACTAATTTAGAGGGGCGAAAGTGTACTCTATAGAATGACCAATAAAAGTAGGTGACGCCCGAAAGGAGTACGGCTTTATTTTGAGGCTTCAGTTACACGGGAGGTGGAGATGAGTATGCCAGCCAGATTTTAGGGATTTCTGTTATCAAAATATCTACAAGGGACTATGATTAAATTATCTGAGACACATGTAATTATAATGGTAATTGAACTAAGTGAAGTGCAATTTGGGCTGAATTCGTACGCGTGATTTCAAAATCGAACGAGCGCGCAGCGCGAGTTCGATTTGAAATCACAAGTATGATTTCAGACCAAAATTGCACGATACGAGGTTCAACTATCACCTTATTACATCCATTTTGAAACCGTCCAAATACAGGACTTGGTCAATTCAAATATTTTATTGATGCAGTACTGAGCCGGTTTTTAAATAAAAAGCAGAACCGGAAACGCTTTTACATATTATTTTGTATGCAAAACAGAAAGACTTTGACGTCATATGTAAAAAACTCAGTCAAGCGTAAAATGATGCGATTTAGAGCAAAAGTTGGTGCGATTCGCGAATAAATTGCACCAATTAGAGCCAGTCAGATTACAGGCACCACCAGTGATTTCAAAATGGATGTAATAAAACTGGTAATTTATGCAAGGAATACCATTATTCTGTGGTAAGTATGAGTAAGAGCAAAGTTTTTGTCAAAATCAGTTAATGAGGGATGTTGGAAAGTTGACCACTGGAGCAGAGCCTCCTTGCTGAAAAACTCTTTGATTCCTCTCACGCCGGCCTGGTTCAATCTCGAGTCTGGTTTTTTGGTTCTTCCCCGGGCGAGGAGAGTGGGATCATTTCCCGAAAACCGCCTCCCGGTTAGCTCAATGGATAGAGCGCTGGACTGCTGCGCGGGAGGTCGAGGGTTCAAGCCCCAGCCGGACCAATACTCAAGGTCTTAAACTAATTGAGAAGAATATGCTACCTTTCTATAACATCAAGAAATGGTTAGATATCCTAGTCTTCTCGGACAGGGACGAATAAATGGAGGTCCCGTCTCCTGCAGGGTTGGGGTAGGAGACGTTAATTTCCCACACACGAGATTACTGTGTGATGGATGTCCTTCTTCTGGGGTGGGATGGGTGGGATATTGGGCGCACTTAATTTGGAGCCTCGCTCTGTTGTGCAACCCTCACCACACTCTGGTGAAAGTGATTAAATAAATAAATATGCTACCTTTCTATAACATCAAGGAATGGTTAGCTAGATATTCTAGTCTTCTCGCATAGGGACGAATAAATGGAGGTCCCGTCTCCTACAGGGTTAGGCCGTAGGAGGCGTTAATTTCCCACGCACGAGATTACTG